TCCCCCTGCTTGTGTTCCTGCTCTCGCTGTCTCTCTGTCAAATAAATAAATAAAATCTTTAAAAAAAAAAAAAAGAATTAATTCTTATCTTTACCCCCTCCTGAACAATACAAGAACTTTTTAACATTTTAACTCTGATCACTTCCTTTTTCATTTATACACTATTCTTGTATTCTAGTTTTATCTTAATTTTAAGTCTCCTAAATTATTATTATTGCTGTATACAGTCAATAAACCCTTATTTTTATTCATATACCTACCATTTTCTTTACCAATCATTCCTTTTTACAGCACAAATTTTCCATCTACTAATACTTTTTTTGTACCTGAATTACAGCTTTTAAACTGAATCTATTGGTGGCACAATTTCCATTTTTATTGTCTGAAAATTCTTCATGTCCTTTAACCTCTTTCATATTTATTTTTGTGTTTCTCTGTGTGACATTCTGATTAACCTCCTCAGATCTGTCTTCCACTTCATTAATTCTCTCTTTAGCTGTTAAACCCATTCATCAGGTTTTGAAATTTTCAGATATTTTGATCTCAAGTTCTTTTGTATTAGTTTCAAAATCCACTTGATCACTTAAACACATATAATTTTTTTTTTTAATTCTGTGTCTTAAAAGTGAGGGATTTGAAGTCTTTCTGAGTCTGATTTGGCCTTCTATTGTTTCTACTAGCTCTCAGTGTGCATTGTTTTTGTGTGTAATCTTTCACTCTTTCCTTCTCAATATTTCAATCTCTCTCTCTCACTCTTCTCCCTGTTTTTTACTGAGTTCATGTTTCTTACAATTTTTTAGTTATTTTTTGAGGGTCTCTATTTCTCTAACTCTATCTCCCCTATCTTTCTATTCATTTTTACCTTGAGTTCATGTGTTTTAGCAATATTTCAGTGATTCTTTGAGATCTGGGTTGAAGATGGGGCCATCCTCTTCTGGTAGGTGCTTGGGAGCACATCTTATACTGGACCATTTTAAATTAAACTATCAGCTTGCAATTTCTTAGAACATATAGATATTTAAATTTGGTCTGCCAATATGTGTGCTCATTGGCTTGCCATTAAATATTTGTAGGGGAGTTCTTTCCTCTTTTACCTCAGCACCAAAACTCAAGACTAACAAATGTCCTTGTAGATTTAGGGGTATGGTGATTTAGAGAGTGCATAACCATTTTGGATACTAGCTTTATGTGGGGAGCTTCCTATTAAACTGTCATCTAAGCAAGCTCTGGGCTTTGACCTCTCTCCCAACCAGGGCCATATATGTAATTGTACACTGAACAACTTTAAGAGGCATTTTTAATACAGATATACACTAGGGTCTACGTGATGGATCTGTCCTCATCCCCACAAGATGGTGAAAACTAAAGTTCAGGTTCACCAGGTTCAGCAATTGCCTGAACTTGAAAGTTGGTTTCAGTGCTTTAGTTTTCTAATTCCATAACTGACAGAACTTAACTGAAGAGTAAAACAGTGTCTCCTCTCTTTTGAAATCCTTTAAAGGGCAGGCATCCTCAATATCTTATGAAATGAATTGGTTTGTCAATCATCATTTCAACAAAAATATCCACCACTTGCCCCATTAAAGGAAATGTAACATGATCAGACGGTGTTTATTGCTTTGCTTTGTTTATTTTTAGATGTGGACTTTCCAGTTGTTCTCCAGCCTACAAATGCAAATGAGAAAACACAGCTAATCAGAGAAGGACCTCGAAGTTATTGCGCAGACTCTTAATATTGAGACCATTGAGGGTCCACAGTACCCCCTCTTGGTTAAACCATGTCACCAGGTGGTCATGGGTGGGGCAGGGTAAAGGATGTGAAATGCTGTGAACTTCTCCACATTCGTATTTTATTTTTTAGGTTAGGGAAAGATGATCGCTACATAATTTTCTCAGTATGCAGTCTCAATCTTTGAGTAGAATTCCTAATGAAACACATTCCATTTTGATGAATAAAAGCCTGAAGAGTTGTTTTATGCTCCTTGCATGAGGTAAGATGGTGGCACTGGACAGGTTTCATGACTCTGCCCTTTATGTGACCCAGATCTAATTCCTTACAGACAAAAGTAGCATTCCAAACAGAAGCCACTTTCATCTATCTAACAATACAATATTCCTATCTGCCACAAATATCATCAGCAAAATACACATGGAAACTTAAGAGGAATTTTTTGTGTGTGTGGAGATTTTTTCCTGCCAATATTTAATATGGCTACAGAAATATTTCAAGAGGCAGGAAGAAATTATTAGGTAAAAAAGACAAATCACTTAATTTTAAAGTATATCTTTGAAAGATTAAAAGTTGTTATTTACTGAAAACTGATAAGTAAAACCAGGAAGAAACAGGTTTTGCGTACTTTTGGACTGGCATAAAAAAACAGAAACAAAATCTCAACCTGGTCAAATGGTATAAATGATCCAGAAAATCGTACTGAGTCCAAACCAGCCCCCCAAAATATGATGACATTTTTAAGTAAAAACATTTTTTGTACAACTGACCTAGATTAGACAGCAAGGAAAAGAAACATGTAGGGTAAAAGGTAGAATTCTAAACTCTACAGCCTAACTTTAGATTTAAAGGCATATTATTTACCCCATTTTTGGTGGGAATAATTACATTTACCAGAAAATGCTCAGCTCTGTGCATGTTGAACAATTAAGGTCAAAGGTCATGTCTGCATTTACTGTTTGATCCTTATATTCATTATGTGGTCAAAGCCATGTCCTAAAACCATGTTCTAAAATAGTACAGAAAGTGTTTTTTCTTAGTTCTTTATATAATATTGCAGTTTTCAAGATCTTGTTATGTTTTTATATAATATTGCATGAAATGCCATTTTTTTTTGTTTCTTATTCCCACCATCACCAAATTACAGTCAAATAATCCTAAAATACACATTGTAAGTGAAAATTGGTGTTACAGCTCTGACAGTTCTGAAGTCATTAAAATTCTGCTTTAACTCTTGAGTTACTGGAATTTTTTTTAATCGACAATCAAGTACGAAAAGCCCTGGTTGGACAGTTAGGAAAGCTGGTTCTAATCTAAACTCTTGCTACCTAGCCCTGTGACCAAGTGAGATGAGAATTATATGGCTAATTGCTGACTCCATTTTCCTATTTGCTCTGATCACCTTCCAAGTTGCTGTGAGACAAGATGAAATAGCTGAGGTAAAAGTACTCTACAAAGCCAAGTGTTTGACAAATATTGAGGTGGTTTTACATGAATCTATATGTTTATACACAGACAAATATAATGTGACTTCTTATGTAGATAAACTCTTACCCCAAAACCCATGAGGATACCTAGTACTAACAGTGACCAGCAAGTGCTTGGAACTCTATATTCAACAAACAAGTGCTACTTTCCATTTGAAGGGAACATAAGATAAATAGCCCTGTCTGTGAATAATTTGAGCCACTACATTTCCTTCCTGGAGTCTTTTTAAGCAAAAAGGTCAGGTCTATTTTTGAATTGCAGCCTGTAAATCACAAACTTCCTTTTTCTCTCCCAGACCTCATTTTTCTTACATGGAATTTTTTACTTCTGCTCCCAGCTTGTCCAGAGAGCTAGTACAAGAGTAGAAAGATGAGAACAGGGCATGAATCAGAATCAGAATCAGATGGTGGAATTAAATTCATAAGGGGATTCTTATTAATGTTCTCCATCAAGGGCTAATTACTGGGTATAATCATGTGTGGTAAATGTTAAGGACATGAATGTGTATGAATGAGGAAATGAATCTACAGAATGCCCCTTAGCTACAAAGAAACAAGGATCAACTCTCCATCGAAGAGAGGCCACTTAGGCATCATGTTGGGGGTCAACTGAAGCTGCCATCCAGAGTCACCTGTGGTTATTCTGAATCCATAAGCATCTTAGCAAAGAAGCACCAAGAAGAAACATGCTCACCATGAACCGGCACTTCAGTGGCTTACTACCTAGTCCTGGGCTCCAGGTTACCAGAGTAAGGGATTTTGTATAAGGTTTCAAAGTTCATCCATTTATTTTTTGCTGTTTTACATAAGAACATAATAAAAAAAAGTATGCCTTTTTCTTTACCAAAATACACATGCCTTAATTCTTTGAGAATAAATGACATTCTATTTCTACATTTTAAATGGTATGGATGCTAAAACACATTTGATGTTTCCGAGCCTGGAAATACACCCACCTGGTAGTATACTGCTTGATTTTTTGATCTACACAGAGGGTTCCAATTAGGGCTACATAATCTTTGTGACTGGCACAGTGATGCCCCCTCCAAGATGTACTTATCCTAACTCCCAGAAATAGTGACTATATCACCTTTTATGGCAAAAGGCACTTGGCAGATGTCATTGTTAAGGATTCTGAGATAGGGAGATTATCCTGGATTATCCAAGTGGGCACGATCTAATCACATGGCTCCTCAAAAATGGAGAATCTTTCCTGGCTATGAGAGAGATGTGACTATAGAAGAATGATCAGAGGGGTGCCTGAGTGGCTCAGGTCCCAGAGTCCTGGGATTGAGCCCCACACTGGGCTCCTTGCTTAGTGGGGAGTCTGCTTCTCCCTCTCCCTCTCCTTCTGTCTCCTGGCTCTCGCGCTCTGTCTCAAATAAATAAATAAAATCTTAAAAAAAAAAAAAAAAGGAATCGTCAGAGATATGCTTTGAAGTTCGAGGAGGAAAGGGACCATAAACTAAGGTATGCAGACAACTCTAAAAGCTGGAAAACTTAAAGAAATGGATTCTGCTCTAAAGCCTCCAAAAAAAGAAATGCAGCCCTGCCACCACCTTGATTTTTGCCCAGTGACACCCATGTCAAACTTCTGACCTTCAGATTGTATGAGTTTAACACTAAGTCAGTGCTCCTCGCTTTTTTCTTTATTGTCCTCACTCCTTATTCTAGATTTCTTTTTTTTCATCCCTTCATCCTGAGTGTCTAACTTCATTTTCTCCTCTGTCCCTTCCATTCCCTGTTTTTCAGTGCTCCATCTCCTTTCCTGTTCTTCTCCCTTCTTCCACTCCTACCTTTCTTCCATTTGACCCTCACCCCTCTGTTTTAGTCTCCTAATCTCTCTGCTGGCCAGTAGCAACTCCATCTCCACAATTTACTGGTCTTTTACATAAATTGAGCTATTGTAAATCTACCCCCCAACTGGTAGGGCAGGGAGAGATAGCAAAAAATAGTCCAGGTAACAATATTCTTAAAGGAATGTCTCCCTCCCTACCCCCGCCAAATTCAAGCACAAATAATCATAATGCTAATAGGCCAAAGGGGAACAGAAGTATTTTTTCAAACAATTCTGAGTATATTAACAAATAAATATAATTCATATTGACCACATTCATTATTTGAATGCATGGCAAGGTAATTTGAGACATTAATTTTGTTTTGTCCTTAGTAAGACTCAAAGGAATAAGGGCTCTCCTTCTGAGATTCCATCTTAAAAAGGTCACTTCCTTGCTACCATGACCTTGGAGGTTAAAAACGAAGGTAGAGAGACACCTGGAAAACCACCACCCAGGCTTTTGTTTGGGTGCTTGGGCTGTGAGAAGGGCTGTTAGAAAGATGTATGCTGAAATTTGAGGAAGAGAAGTAGCCCCATCATGAGGGACATCTAGACTAAAGATGGGTTGGGAGTTTGGGGAGGAATTCCCAGAGTATCCCAGACTTGTGTCTGTTAGAATAGGCAGTTAGATTCTAACAGGATACCTGAAGCCTAGCAATGAGGAAGCCATGGCCAGCTATCAGGAAAGTCAGAGGCCTGTCCTGGTAGCACTCCACAAGAAGCCATATCAAACCATGCAGGCCCAAGATGGTGGGTGCCATGACAGGAAACTCCCGACCAAATAAGGAAGAAAAAGCCAAAACCCTGCTTCCAAGAAATCCCTGCCCCAAGTAAGGAATATTGCACTCCCTAGTTGGCAACGGTCAATAAAAGATAGAAACCCAAACCCCAGGGTGCGCAGCTCTCTCTTCAGGTTGCCTGCTCTAACATCTGGAGAATATACTTGAGCTTTAATAAACTTCACACTTGTGTCACTCGTCCACTGTGTTGTGTCTGTCCTTGAATTCTTTCTCATGAGGAAGCCAAGAACCTTCAGCATCATCTTTGTGATGGGCTGGGTCAAGGCCCCAGGGCCCAGGGTCTCCCCAGTTCACTGGTAATATGTCCACAGGGGAGAGCCCCTCTGATGAGATAGCACTTGGATGCCTGGGTGACAAAATTAAATTTTGGCTTCTTAGCCATAGCAAAAGATTCCTGTACCCACACCTGGCCCCTCAAAGGAACCATGTAGGGTTGGACACAGAGACCTAAGGAGCAACCAGGCTGGAGTAAGATGAGGGGTTGGAAACATACTTGGAGGAGGAAGACAGAAACCCTGAGGACCCCAAACATGCCTAGGAAGTGGGGGGTAGGGCGGGGGGACTCTCAAAATGTGGCTGAGGTGAAATTTCAAACTACCTTGTTAAACTTCAACTCTGAGTCAGAATTAATTTAGAACATATAATGTATTGAGACCATGAAGAGGCTTCCCCAAGATCTTTTCTCAAATGTCACTTCTTCATATGCTTTCCCAGACCACCCTGCCTAGAATTGTACCCCACCTCATGCTTCCTATTCTATACTTTTTTCCTTAGTGCCTTTCACTAACATACTTTTTAATCTTGCTTATTGTTGTCTCCCACACCATGAAGGCAAAGATTTTTGGCTGTTTTTGTGTCCTGTTGAATCCCCAATGTTTAAAATAATGCCTGACACATGATAGACAGCTTGGGAATATTTGTTAAATGAGTAAATGTTTAACCTGTGTCATAGAATAGAGAAATTCCTACCTGCTAGAAATGCAAAAGCTGCTAGAATCTTTAGTTTTTAGGGGGGTTTAGTATATTATTTTTTGGATATTAATATGAACAATTTAATTATTATAAAATTAATGGTAGCTTGGCACCCAATCAAGCCTCTGACCCAATTACAGCATTATCTT